GAGAGAGAGAGAGAGAGAGAGAGAGAGATAATATATATAGAGAGAGAGAGAAAGAAAGAGACAGGAAATGGATGCTATATCAGCTTAGTTGAGAATTTGTAGCGTGTGTGACAGCTTTTGCAGTCGTTCCTTCAGCATTGCCTTTTGCTGTTTGAGATTCTCTTCTAAGTCATGAGCATCTCGCAAAACTTTGTCGAGCCGTGTTGGACAGAATTTCTCAAAACTCTCACTCTCACTGTATCAAAATAGAAATTTGTTATCAATCAATTTAAACATTTATTAGGTTTATTATCCTATCTTGAGGTGATGCACCTTGCCAGATTGTAAGTGTCAATGGAGATCTGCCTTTAAACCCATTGTCACAATTTCGCATGTATATTCAGCACAACTGATATCTCCTGATTGCCAGAGCAGTTTTTACTGGTCTACATAAAGTCATCCCATATACAATACTAAGAATAAAAAGGCTCAATATGTGATTCAAAATGGATATAGACCATACGTAAAGGGGGTGGTCCAAGTCCTAATTAACATCATTGACTCTTGAGATATTTCTGAAAATATAACAAAAATAAATGTTATAATTATGTTTACAATGTAAAATGTTTGAACTGGAGCAATTGCCTTTAACTGTATAGGTAAAGTATAAGGAGGAAAAAAACGTTTATCTTAAGTGTTTATTTAAGTCAATTATAGGTTATCTTACTACTGAAAAAGTTCATAAAAAATTTACACAAATTTTCGTAAAAAAAAGCTGCTAACATTTCATACAGCTGTAGTCTAAGTGTTTATGCATTACATGTTCTTACATGTTTATGCATTAAATGTTCATATTAATGATTAAGAATTACAACTACAAGTACTATGATATTTAAATATATGACTGATAATTTTGGCAATACCAAGTTGGCCCTTCTTATTAATGCATATATAAACCACATATTGACAGGATACACGTGGCATAATGAAATATATATTAGTGATACTGCGGACATGGTGCACAAAGCTGCATGTTCTTTCATTTTGTATAGTACTATTGCATATGTATGTTCAACAGTAAATAATGACTTTGAGATTATTCACTCCTAATATGTTTATACTATGAGTGTTTACATCAAGTGAAATTCCATTGTTATATCAGCATTTTTGCATGCATCTGTTTAACTACAACAAAACTGACCAGTCATAACATCACTAATTGAGCTGGCTGTATGGTCCATCACTTGTTCCTGCAAATCATTGCTCCTCAAACACTGGTCAGATACAGCTTCAAACAAATGTAAGACATAATAAATCATGTGTTATTTTAATACAGTATACTGCAAACTTTATAGGGACGCAGTCTAGAGTTTAGATGCTCTTATTTTGGCCCAGAACCCTTGCACTTAGTGATTGATGGTAGAACCAGCACATGGCACGTGACTATATTTAGCAGCACTTTATCTGCAACCATGCAGATCAATAGTATTTAAATGTGTGGTGCAATGAAATATACATGTACTTGCAGCACCTGTAAATGCAAAACTAGGAGTGCTGGATTGCAGCACCTGTAAATGCAAATCTAGGAGTGCTGGACAGTGCCTAAATTCCAGACCAGTTGTGCCTTTTAATATTTTAATTTGGGAACTTTTAAAGTAATCTGTGTTTAGAATAGAGGTTTGCAAGAGTTATCAGCAAGTTGCTTAGCATGTCTCACTTTGTGCAGTTTCGGGCTTCTGGAGAAACTTTCAAGCATGTAATAATATAATTATTGCCATTCTTCTGATTACAACTGTTTAATTAGAGAAAACTCACCTGGTGTTTTCTGTGCAGTTTCCATTTCTAATGCTTGATCTGAGAATTGTGTGATCCCTGTATCTATTCTGCTCAACTTTGACTCAATAGCATTATGCTCTGTACTATTCATTGTTGGCAATGTGAAAGCATCTACCTGTTACAAATAAATGATCATCTGAATTAGCCTACAGTGTTCTTTGACCAAGACATATACAGACAGGACCCTGTGTATTAGCAACTTAATTTCTTATTTGCCTCATAATACAACATTTGTTAACATAACAAACTACTTAGGTTCAGAATAGTATATAGGCATTGTCCTACACAAATTAATGGCTTTTTGAATCATATAATTGATAGTACAAAATATGTACCTTGCCAGTGGCAGTGTCTGCAAGCTTCGCCTTCTTTGCACTTGATGCGTGACTCGGAGGTGGTGCCATTGGATGTGGCAAATTATCATCCATTATCTCCCACGCCTGGTTAAAATACTGAACTTAGATCAAATGGCTTCCTTGGTTCCTGCCTTGACAGCCAGAGTTAAACTGTAAAGGCCTTCCTTTTCAGGTTTATTCAATTCAATTCCTGACTGCAACAACAAAGATTTATTATAGGTTATGCAATTCAGTTTACAGTAACACTGGTATAGGGAATCTGTATTTGTAATCTAGGCTTCTAGCTATCCATCTCTTTATAGGTGTGTGTGTGTGTGTGTGTGTGTGTGTGTGTGTGTGTGTGTGTGTGTGTGTGTGTGTGTGTGCGTGTGTGTGCATGCTCACGCGTGCATGTGTGAGCACGCGATTCGGAGAGAGAGAGAGAGACGTACACACGTCATAGGGATACTACCAAGAGCGTCTAAAGAAGGAGCATACCTTCTTTATACGCTCTTGATACTGCGTAACAATTGAATAAATTTCATAAAGAAGATACGTACCTAAGTACAACTACAAGTCTTTAGACGAGGAAAGACGAATAGCACTAATAATACAAGAACTAGGAGGATAACCAGATTACAGGCGTACTAGGACTAGGACTAGGAGCTATTATAACTATGCCTACTCAGGATCGTACTCGTAGGCGGTAGGGTCTATGTCCACCTGACCTCTGTTTGACCTGGCTCGTTTAGCTATTTCTGACTAACCCTAACGGTCTAACCCTAACCAGTAACCCTATATATTATTCTATATTCTATATATATATAAATACATATATATATATATATATATATAATATATATATATATATATATAATATATATATATATATATAATTAGTCAGAAATAGCTAAACGAGCCAGGTCAAACAGAGGTCAGGGGACATAGACCTTTAATATCTGCCCTACGTAGTACGTACTAACGTAGGCTCTACGCTGGCCTAGGCACACTGCCACTGGACTAGAGTTCAGATCACGCCAGCTAGTCTTGCAATATGAAGTTTCTTAGGCGTCTTAGTGTATAGCCCTTACGATGGATTATATAATAATTAAACATTACATATCACCTACGTGTAACGTTAAAGGATATATTATTATAAGCTAAAAATAGGTTGTAACCGACGCGACACAAGCAGACGAGTCAAACATTTACCAACGCCATCTATAGACTTAGACTATAATAATGCACACGATACCGCAGGAGAGCAACGGCTTTTAACCAATTTAACTCTTAACTAAACAAACATTTAAATTAAATTATTGTTTTGATATATTTAGCTTCGGTAATGTATGAATAAAGCAGAAATACAAACCAAATAAACCAGGCATAGTTGATATTGATTATAATTACTAACCAGGTGGCGCGATGCACAAAAACATGAAAACATAGGTAGGAAAATTAACTTTGGTAAGAATTCAAAGAAAGGTTTAACATTATCACATGTAGAGAGTCAAACGTGTTATATTTTTCAATTATTTTTTAATAAAGCATATAGCTTGTCATAATGCTATCAAATTGCACCCTCTCTGACATAGACATAGACCCTCTCAGCTCGACTATCGCCAAGAAACGGTTACAACTTGCACAGCGAAAGAACGTTTCTAACTCTTCCTATACAAAAACAGCTGCAATATACCGTGGCAACAATATAGTCATAGTGTGGCTGTTGTGCCCAAACTTGGAAACTTCGACAAACTTGGAATTCAGCACATCTGCAGTTTGGGCAACCAAATTTGTCTATACTTGATTGAGAGTCGTAAACCCAAGATTTCGTTGACACTGACTGTCACTACACTTAGCCACTACTGCACTGCCACTAGTTTAAGTTATTTGTCACTAGTCACTGACACTAGCCTCTACCCAAGAGCTAAATATATTAGCTCCTGGGTCTAACCCAGTGCCAGGACTGTAACCCCTCCACGCTGAAGCAATGAAGGCTGAACTAAGCCTCCTCTCCGCCGGAATCGCGGTATCGACTATCGCTCATAGTCATAGGGTCTATCACTATAGGTCCCCAGGTTACTGCCGGAACGTACCCTTGGTACGTTCCGCAGACCCCGGGGTACATAGACCCTCTCAGCTCGACTATCGCCAAGAAACTCGGTTACAACTTGCACAGCGAAAGAACGTTTCTAACTCTTTCTATACAAAAACAGCTGCAATATACCGTGCAACAATATAGTCATAGTGTGGCCTGTTGTGCCCAAAACTTGGAAACTTGCACAAACATTGGAATTTCAGCACATCTGCAGTTTGGGCAACCAATCTTGAGATTGGGCAAACAGAGGTAAACAGGGCTTGCACACACATATGATTATTAGGATTTCAAATGTATATTCATACTATAAGGTCGTATACCTTCTTCCTCCAATGTGTTTGGCACCTTGTAAAAATATTTAAATGATTATAATAAATAATTGGATAAATATGAGATAAATCTCTTCCTAGTTTGCACCACGCATGCCACACACTCGCTATGAGCGTTTGTGAATCAACCGACTGTTTTCAGTTTGCCCAATCTTGAATTGGTCAAGCCAACTAGGGAAACCGCAGTTTGGCAGCACAATCGCGGCACAATCTCGAGATTTTGCAGATTCCAAGTTTGGGTACGGACATGGCCACTTCGCTCCGATACAGGCTATAGAACAAACATTATGACTAGAATCTGAGAATAATGTTTACAGCGTTGGCTGGCAACGTTGTAGTTCGTGCACAAATAAAAAAATTAACCACTAGCCTGCAACGTAAACGTTATTTGTTAAGGATACTCTCAAGGTTTTAGGCAAAAATTTTACCGGATTTTTCATTTTCGACGTTATTCGAATGCTAACACTATGTGCCACCACTGTATATGCTCATTTCTCCATATAACGGTACATTTGTGAACTTTTAGAGCGTTTTGATTGCCCGCGTTACACGTGTAGTGAGCAGCAGCCTGACGGTCACGATATGACGTCAGAGAACATGAACAACCAGAATTTCATGAATATTCACTAAGCCAGTATCATTCAGTGTCAACCTCACTACAGCTGTCATCTGCCAGTGATAGTTTGAAATTGCCGCGCGACGCGAAAATAGTCCCTCGTTCCCTTGTTGACACACCTTGCATTTAGGGCGCGTGTTTGTTGACACATTAGCTTAGTAACGGCATGCAGTACACATCGTACGTGCGTTTTGCCATGGGAAGTGCGGTGGTAACCTCGTAATTTCTCACAATATTCTCAAGGTGCATGAATATACATATTACCAAATTAGGGTGTCAGTTAGTCATGATAAGTCGCAGTAAGTACTAACAGTAGATATTTCACATACGTTTCACCCATTTTGCACACAGGCGGTCAATCATTGTGAAAATAGAAAAACGCTGATTTCTCCGTTTCGATTTCTGACATATGTACCGATGTATAAATGGATATTTCTCTGTGATTACAACTTGGATTAATTTAATTTTACACCCGTTTTAATGTAACATATTGTTGTAAAAAAGTGTGTCAGGGATTGTTATTAAGTGCCGTATTTTATTAGTTATGCCTCTTTATTCGCAAAATTTTCAATTCTAACACAACTTGATTTTTAAGGCAGTTTTTTCGCATTTTCTCGGTAAATATGAAACTTAAAGAAAAATCCTGAACGCACTATTTGGTCCATATTGTACTTACATGTGGCAAAAATGTGCTATCCTCACTCTTTCTGTAGTTAGAAATATCCAAAATACCATTTTTACATAAAAAATTCAAAATTTGTGTGGTAACATAATTAGGTGCTGGAAATTTCATGAACGAGCATAGAGATATATCTCCTCTATAAATAAAACAAGTGATTGATTCGATTCCATTCGCCATAAACGTTTAATCTTCATTAGAGCAATACCCGTGCAAAAAGTGGAGAGTATCCTTAACCAGGCAGCTAGAAATTAACTTTTAAATTACAATAACATGACCAAATTGATCAAATGTTCTCATGCATAAAATCACAAACTAGAAGTGTTCATGGTGGCTTTTTCAAGATACTTTATTAGTGCTAAACATTTTTGGTACAATTTAATAATTAATACAATATTTTAATTCAAGTGGGAAAAAACCCAGTTGTTAACAGTATAAGTATAAACCGCACGGGTATGGCGAATGGACCATGCAATCATCGAAGTCAGCCATACCCTATAGGCCTTGATTAAGTAGTACACTGTTAGAATATTTTCAAGTAAAAGATTTCAATTATTACCTTACTTTACATCCACATTACATTACAATACATTACATCCACATTAAATTACATCACATTACATTAAATCCACATTACATTACATCAAATCATATTACATTACATTACATTACATTATAATATCTTACAATACATTGCATTACATTACAGTACATTACATTAGTACAAAATAATCATTCTTTTAAATCAGTTCTTGAACAATTTTTACTTTTTATACTTGTTAAGAAGAAGTTGTCTATATAATTTCTTAAATAAATAAAATGAGTTAGTCTTTATTTCCGTAGGAATAGCTTCCCAACATTTAACTCCTTTAAACTTTAGAGAAATCTGACCTATTGCTGAGTGTGCTCTCGGGAGATGATAAGTTGAGCGTTTCAAATAAGGAGTTTCATATGTATGCAAGTCGCAAACCTTAGTAAAGAAGTCATTATATATGATAGGTAATCTGTTGTAATGATATTTATACATAAATTTACCTAGTTCAAAAATGTAAAGATCCTCTAATTTCAGTAATTTTAGATCAGAAAAGTATGGAGTCACGTGCTGCTGACGACTACCGAAGGCTATATATTTTACTATTTTATGGTGAATTAAATCTACTGGATATATGTTACATTTAGGGGCTGAAGCCCAAGAAATCACAGCATACTGAAGATGAGGATATGCTAGAGCAAATTAAACTAATAATAGCGTGGTTCTGTTAATGTAGTGACGAAGTTTAGAAATGATAGCTGCTACTTTTGACAATTTTGATGAGACAAACTTCGTGTGGGAGTTCCATTTAAGATCATTATCAATGAAAACACCTAAATATATTATAAAATTAGCTTGGTCAATTTTATTGTTGTTAATGTTGCTGGTAATAAAATCACTTCTATTTATTCTCTTATTAGTTATAATCATATATTTAGTTTTAGAATAGTTTACAGAAAGTATGTTAGCAGCCATCCACTAATTAACTTTTTTCCATCTCCTCGTTTAGCTAAATCCACAAGATTATCACTAGACAAAAACAGCTTAGTATTGCCTGCAAACAAACGAGTATTAAAACCCGAGTCATTTGGCAAATCATTTATGTATAAAAGGAGCAAAATGCTACCATCACTATTAATAATAACGATAATGAGACAAAGCATTTCATTTATTTCAGGGTGATCATGGAATTTGCAAATGTGTTCACGCCTACTTCTACGGAGGATCAGTTGCAGCATGTTGGGGACATGGTTGAGGAAGGGATCCCCACGGACGAGGTTGTCGTCGATCCTTCGATGGAAGAGATGTTTGATCCCGTTAACATGGAATTCGTGGAGCTGCGAAGTGTTCTTGCTGACGGAGGCGACCACTATGGCGTCTCGGCCGTGTCGTTCGATCTACAGGAAGAACTGTTGTGGATGGGTAATCAAGGGGTACGAGAATTTCAATTTCTTATGGCGAGAATACCTTGTAAATTTATGAAATGACTGTTATCTATGAATGCAGGGTTCTTCCCAGGCCTTGTCGCCTCAACGCATGTCGGGTCCAACATGCCTTCAAAGCTAAAGCTAATTTGCGACATCCCTATAATGATCTGCATTAATTGCTTAATTGCCATGCCTTAATTTCCAGCTGTGTTCACGTTTAGCAATCCTGATAAAGTGATGCTGTGTTTTACCAGCTTGCTTTATACGTCGCCAAACTATTCGAGTTTACCTGTGTACTGGGGCTGCTTATCATGACATGCGTAATTGACTCTAATTGGTACAATGCCTTCTCGGGTCCTCCCTCGTCCATCCGTAAATGAAATGCTTTTTTTGAAATTTCTTGCGGAAAACCCTAAAACAACTTTACTCTTAAATTTTGCATTTGATTACAGGTGGCCAACATTTTTTGGAGAGGGCCATAAATTAGCAATATTCTTTGCATGCACATTTTGCCAGAAAACATTGCATTCAGATTTGTTATTCACAGCTGTTTGCAGATCGAGATCTGTTTTTTCCGGTGACAGATAAATGCTGCTTCCAGAACCGTCGTCGTGTTTTTTTTTCCAGGGCCACATGACGAGTTACTACGGGTTGGATCTGCGGAAGTATACGTCATTCCAAGTGCACCCGGAGTGTCACGAGGTGCGGCAGGTGGTCAGCATCGACGGGGGCGTGCTATGTCTCACCGATAACCTACTGCAGTGCAACGCCAGGACGGGCATGTGTCTGTTCAAATTCACGTGAGAGCTTCACATCTTTTACTCTGTCATAGTGACAGTGTAGTATTTTTACTAAATGAAATCTACTGCAGTGCAATGCCAGGAAAGTGCTGTGTCTGTTCAAATTCACATGAGCGCTTTCACATCTTTCATTATTCTGTCATAGTGTAGTAATTCTACTAAATCTCTTAGTAAATCTACTGCAGTGCAATGCCAAGACAGGCCTGTGTCTGTTCAAATTCACGTGAGCGCTTTCACATCTTTCATTTTGTCAGTGTTGCAACTCCTCGGACAATGTCATTTAACAGAAGTGTTATTGGTTGGAGTAATTTTTTTTCTTCAATTTTCTGCATATAAGCTTGTTGTAAGCTTGTGGCAGTAAAAGGGTATATCACCGATTACTAGTGAATGAATTTGTCTACGTTTGTGTCATTTGTTTTCTACGTTGCAGTGATGATAGGATAATGTCGGACATGCAGACGATGGCCCTCACACAGCCGACGAACCTGCTCATGGGTGGCATGCAGCGCACGATGGCGGAGCTTGACCTTACCACAGTCAGGGTCATCAGAGAGGTAAACTAAAATAGCAGTTTTAAATCTGTGCATGTGCTGTCTTTCAAAGTTGCATTCATTGCAAATAGAATTTTAAAAAGGCATCCTGTTTAATAATTGTACTGTCGATGACTTCAAATGTTTTTTTGGAGGGTATTTCCTGTTGTTTCTGTGCCCACTGATTTTATGATGTGTATTGTGTGTACCACGGATAGTTGTAAATAGATTGTGAATGAATACTTTCTGTTCCAGGTTGTGAGGCTATGACTTCTCCTTGAATATTCAATTAATTGAGTTTTTTAGTTTATTTTATATAGACATAATATAGTATTATTTTTAAATTAGTGAATAGTGAAGTTGATTATTAATATTTAGCTAAGTCGTTTTGACATGTTGTTTACAGCAGTATGTTTCTGGTATTCTTTTTGTAGTTTAACTTTGCAGAGGACTGTGCTATTCTCAGGCTTTCGAATAGATACGCCTGTGCTGGCTCTACAACTGGCAAGGTATTGTGGTTGTTTGATACATTAGTATAGTAAGACTAGAAGTGGTAAAATTGTCATCTTTTGAGCTTCAACGGAGATGCAGCGACATATGGCCTGCATGACTCACCCGGCACACCAATCTACATGGTCCTGCCTGCATTTGTCTTCCACAAATTCAAAATAAATAGACAAATGTTTAAAAACTGCTCCTTAACAGTTGATGATTTTTTCAGTTATGAATTTCGTGGTAAAAAATATATGACTGATGATGCAGTTTATTAAAATTGCAGTATTTGTGATGAAATAAACACTTGTGGAAATTTTCTTTCTCATTTCCTATCAAGTTTAAAACTCATGTGCAACTAACCGAAAAATACATCTTGCTGTATTGCACTCTGGTTCGTATCCAAAAAAGATTTGCAGTCTCGGCTCCATAGAAACAGTGACTATAATGATATTAATTATTATCTGCTGCCATGCATGCATTTTCAATGTTCTCTTTCAGATCAGTCTGCTGGATCCTAAATCGTTGAACGTTGAACATACTCTCGAGACACACAGTGGCACGTTGTCTGATTTTGATGTCAGTGGGAATCTCCTTGTTACCTGTGGATATTCGAAAAGGTAGCAATGCACACACACGCCTTAAAAAAAAATTATTTAGGTAATTATCCATATATATATATACTGTTACAATAGATTTTAAATTCGTGAAATTAGATAACTACCAAGGATATATACACAAAAAGTATGACTAGCACACTTATTTCCATTGTGGTCCTTGAAACATTGACCTGAGTATAAATGTATACCTTCATGAGTTAATGCACATTGTTTGTCATTCCCTTAGTTTGTACTAAAATAGCATTCTATCTGACTGTTGTAAGTTATTTAGTACTCTGCATTTGCACCCGATGTCATTTTAGAGAAATTTAATATATTGCTATGGAGCAACACACATTTTCGCTCGATTTTGTATTGAATCCAATTTTTTTAATGATATTCCTGCTGGAAAGGGAGAAACCGTGAAACTATCATATTAGCGTAACATGTTTGTGATGCAGGATCGGCACAGTGGACAGATTTCTGAATTCGTATGACCTCAGGATGATGCGTATGGTACAGGTCATTCCAGTGCACATAGATCCAATGTTCCTTCGATTTATGACCACTTACACAACACGCATGGTGGTGGTGTCACAGGCAAGTGAAATACATCTATTTGCTTCTTATTTATTAAGGGCTTTACAACTAACACAGCAGTTTGTTGAATTGCACCAAACACGGCACCACATGTGCACGTTATATTGAGGTCGAATAATTGTGTTTTGTGCATTGATATTGGCATGGGGCTGCATTCATAGCCATTTTTTGCCTATTAGTTACAAGAACTTTCTGGATGCTGCCATAAGTCAAAACTAATTGTTCATCGCTAACAACTCGGTGGCATTGAGTTATAACCTGGTCGAACTCACGTGGTGTAGTACAGTGGGTCTGCATTCATTAGAGATTGCCCATGCCAGCGCATGCCTTCCCTGTATACGTGTATACGTGTATTCGTGTTCATGCATTACCAATGTAGGGAATATGGTGGTATGCAATGATTGAGCCCTGCTCATGCTTATATCCTACTGGTCTCCTTCGTTACAGACAGGACAGTTCAATCTGGTTGAGCCAGACCCCGGCACGCCACCAAGCTTTGTGTACCAAGTAAACACGCACGGTGGAATAATAAATTTTGATATGTCACAGACTTGTCAGGCAATGGCCTTCGGAGACAGCACAGGTTTGTAAAAGAAAAATCGGTTATCATTTCATTTGTTCCTAGCATTACTCATGCTTACTGAACTCAATTAAAAAATGTGAGAAGACGCTGAGTTCTGGAATGAGTTCATTGGTTGGGGTTGCATTAAACGCTGCTTTCTTGGTATTGATCGAAAATGTTTTACCTGCTTTCACACGCTCTGCTTTCCCACTTACAAATTGTGTTTATGTCTGCAGGAGCAGTACACCTGTTTGGCACAAGCAGCGAGGACGTGTGCTATAACACCTTCTCTGACGATACTGAGTTTGCTCCTACAGTAAGTTGAGGAACGTTGGAACGTTAAGTACCGACATGACGAAAGAAAGGATTAAAGGTTTTATGTGTGCATGGGGGTATTGATATGCATTATTTGTAGTTGGCAGCTCATAAGACAGGTACGGCATACGTCAAGAGTTTATTGATCGATCCATTATTTGAACACTTGCGATGCTCTTCAGCATTTAGACTCATTAATTTAATTAACTAATTAATTCACTCATTTATGAGTTTAGATTCATTAATTAGAGAAATTAATTTGTAGAATCATTGCCGGTTGGCCCGTGTGAAATTTCGCGGGCATCATTTCTGTACAGAATGAGCCGTTGCTTCCGATAGACATTGATGACATGCTGACACCGCTCTCAACGGTGCCCATGCCCTACACGCAAGAGAAGTTGCTCTCTGATTGGCCACCTCATCTCTGCAGGAAACTATACAGGTACGGCCCGACATGCCAGCTTGCCGTGTGTGTGATAATGTGCCACAAGATTCATTGCTGTTATAAACACAAACACGTTTAAGGACACATTCAGGGTTGTAGTTGAAATTTGGTCAAAATTTCATTTCGCATTTTATTTGATAGATGGCGCCTCCGGGCAGCTATGTATGTGTAGATTATTATGTATGTTGTCCCCTAAACAGTTCAAAATCTTTGCATATGCTCTGCATAGTTACTGCAGTTACTGCGTTACATGCTTTGCACTGTTAAGTGACTGAATAAATAAATGAAGATACAATATCCTCCACAACTAAGGATTGTATAAGTCTCTCTAGTGATGTATATATTAATTTTGTGCACTTTACATAAGTGATTAGTTAGAGACTATGTACTCGAATGGCAACTGGCAAAGAAGCGCTGATTACTAAAGTGAATAATCTAGCAGGCTGCCTCTCATTACTAGCACACTGATTTTAGTTATTATTATTTTATGTGCATTTACAGGAAGGCACCCCTGGTGGATTCCGACGTACTCCGTACCATGAAGGTTGTACAGTTCATCGGCTATGCACCGAATCCTGGAACACGTCTTAGAAATCAGGTTCCCTACAGGATGGATAAAGGATCAAAGGGAAGGCAGAGGAAGAGGAGCGTACCTGAGTCCCCTCTAGGGCGAGGTGAAGTCATGTTTCTGTGATATCTGTTTCTTTGTTCATTTTAATAAATTAATGTTTTCTTTGGTTTCTTTCTATATTTTCTATGACTATGGTTTCTTTGTTTATGAGACTTCTCTGCTGTATGGGAGCGGTGCTTTTCATCATTTGGCAGCCTAATCATCCCAATAATGTTCAGACTATAAAATTATTCTGTTGAAAAGTTTATCATTGCTTATATATATGAATAATATTCCTTCTATTATATGGGGATGGGGTAAATGTCCTTCATATGGATTAATTTCCTTAAATCAATTAACGCCAAGTTAAATCCAAATTAATGTTTGGCTCAAAGGGGGCATTTTAATGTATGCTTGGCTGCTAACTTCTAATGATCTGTAAAATTAATTTGCATTAAGATTTTAATATATGTTAGTAAACATTGACGAGTTTTAAACCCCAACTTGGCAGACACCGAGTAGTTTTCTACTCATTAACCTCAGATCGTTTTGTCCGATAAAAATGATTCTAAAAACTTTATAATTACTCCGCTCCATAGGTGATGATCCATTCCTTGCTGTGCCAAAACGATATCGCAGAGTAGAAATGAAATACACAAAGCTGGGCGTGGACGATTTCGATTTCAAGCACTACAACAAGTCGCCTTTCCCGGGTCTGGAACCGATTCTTCCCAACTCATATTGCAACTCTGTACTTCAGGTTATTATTATTATTAAATCTTTATTGCATGTAATTCATATACAAATACATGTACTCAAGACAGTCTTTTTCCTGGAGCAAAAATCGGATAGATGCAATAGTGTTGAGCAGTTAAAATAATGAAATATCTGAGTGATACAGAAAGGTGCGAGTAAATTTTGAATTCACTCACTATTGTATTGACTATCATTTATGTAAGTGTCTAACTGCATTTAAGTAATGCCATAAACTGAAAAGCTATGTGAGGATATGAATATGATGAGATATGAGCGTACAAGTGTATTAACTATCATTTCCGTAAGTGGCTAATTGTGATGATGTAATGCTGCAAAGCTCTGATTCGATGTGAGATCATACATGACTGTCTGTTGTTCTGTACAATCGAAACGGCTGCTCGGCAGATGATATAAAATTGGCGGGTGTTCTCTTGTTTCAGATTCTGGCATTCATAGAGCCATTGTCGAACTCGCTGCGCAGTCACCTGTGCTCGCGGGAGTTTTGCATCGCATGTGAGACTGGCTTCCTAATGCACATGCTTGACACAGCAAAGCCGGGAGAGACCTGCCAGGTAGATGATATACTAGCTGTTTCTCTATCCCACCTACGCACACCACTCAGTATATCGGTATATAAGTATATCATATATACCACTCGGGTGTGTAACAGTGTTTTCATTGCTTCTCCGTAACACCAGTCACTTACCTAGCAGTATTTATAGTATTAATTAGAGTTAATAATTATGATATTATCATTATTATTATTATTATTGTGGTAAGTGCCAGCTATTTATCTATACCTCCAATGTGGACTTTAAGAGGATGAGGCAGATAGATAGAGAGAGAGAGAGAGAGGGAGAGAGCGAGAGTGACAGAGAGAGAAAGTGTGTGTGTGTGTGAGAGAGAGAGTAAGATAGATAGATAGAGAGAGAGAGAGAAAGATAGATAGATAGAGAGAGAGAGAGAGAGAGATACATGCTGACTTCCGTCTCTGTGAGCGAGAAGAGAGAAGAGAATGAGAGAGAAACACTCTGATTTCGGTCTCTGCGAGCAGGCGACGAACTTCCTGCGAGCGTTCAAGACGCTGCCGGAAGCGTCCGGCCTCGGTCTCGTGCTCAACGAGAACGTCGACACGTGCAAGGTGAACTACGCGCGCCTCATCCAGAGCTGGAACCGCTTCATCCTGCAGCAGATACACAACGTACGTACGACGCGTCAGAACGAACGTCGCCGTCGTTCGTTCTCACGTTCTTACTTTCACACACGTTTTCCTCGTGTTTAGCGGCCGTGACGATGGTTGAAGCGAATCTGTCGGAGCGATGACAGCGTTACTAATGCGTGTTTTCAGTAACCACGGTAACCACGGTAACCACGTTAGCTGTGTGTGCTAACTTATTAGCATTTCTACGCGTGATGCTGAGGTACAAGTACCAAGGCTTGCTCTGTTATAGTGACGGATCATTCTATTAAATAGGTTTTTTATTGTTAGGTAGTAAATCAGTTTTCAATTTATTGTACTTTTGGTGACAAAGAGTTAAAATTTAATTGGAAATGAATAGTAATTCTCTCAGAGCATTAGTAACGTTCTGCATTTCTGCCAATTCACGATAAAAACACATTTTCGATTCGTTCTATAGGCTACGTGAAAAATATATATGAATAAAACTGTAGTAATGATGAGACTTCTTTACATTGTGTATATTTATGTATGTTTGTGTTGAACAAATATTGCTGTAGGGTAAATATACATATCGAATTAAATTTTTAGTATTTTTATATTAAGTAAAAGGTGTGTTTAAAGTATTGATACCCTTTTTTGGTTTTGTAGGAGACAGTAAAAGAAGAGCCAGAAGCTGCCTTGCCATCAGAACTGTCACAGGGGTAAGACACAGTAATCTATAAATGTATTCCACATCCAGTAAAAACCATTATTATGCATGTTGTGTCTACAGAATCAAGATCCGTGAATAAAATAATATATATGTTTTGTGTATATAACCAAACTAATAACAAACATTATTATTATCAAGAGCTTATCAATACCTATATGTATTTATAAGCTCTTGTTATTATTCATAGCTATTTCGATACATCTGGGAGTTCCATCATTAAGGACCTGTTCAACACAAACGTCGTGAGTACCACCAGATGTCGCTGTGAGCGGGAAATATCCAGAAACTCCTCGTCACTGCTCTTCACACTTCTGTATCCTGACTGCCAGATACAAGGTACATACCTACATTTTTCTTAACACACGGTACATTTCATGTTAGTACACCTCTAATCATGCAATCGTTGAGAGTGTGGTTGTGGTTGTGTGTTGAAGGTACCTACATTATTCATTTTTCAGCACTGTACTTTTCTTGTTAGAGACCTAGTCTTGCAATCATTGGACGTGTGGTTGCGTGTTGAATCTACCTATGTTATTCAATTTTCAACACGGTACTTTTAATGTTTATACATCTAGCCTTGCAATCGTTGAAAGTGTGGTTGTGTAGAACTTCACATCTGATGTGATGATTTGTTCATCGTCCGCAGGTCTGAACAAGCCTATGCAGATAGCATTCGGCGAGGTGCTACGTAGCAGCATGTGTCTGGAACACACCACCCAGGCATGGTGTGAGGATTGCGGGAAGTACCAGCCGACTGTGAGTACTCGTGTCATACCTTTCTTGCCAGGTCACAGCTAATCCTTGCAACATGCATAACGTTATCATGGCACGTATATCAATATCTGAGACTAAGGCCTTAAATATTAAAAATTTGTTCATAGCCTGTTAAACCAGATTGCAGCATGGGAGACTGACAATAGCTTGCAAATATAAAATCAACTTCTGGGTAGCGCATGCACTTTAGCCATTGTTTTCACTGTGCAACTGTTCCAGGAAAATGCATCAAACTATGGTTAAAGTGATTATTGAGGTGTACATTTACCTGAAAAGGTTAGATTACTGCTACAGCATGCATCACTTATGGCTTGCTATTGGCATAGTAAAATTAAAATAGTATGATGAAATGTTAAAGATATCGGGAGCTGCTGTCAATACATACAGTACCAATAGAAAATACCTAATTACACAAATAGTGTAATCAATGTCACTATTATCACAGTAATATACACGTGAATGGTTATTTATCACAATTGGTTTCAAAATTGATTGGACTCCTTTGATAATTGTAACCTGAAACCACATATGCTATGAAATAATCCTAATGATATTTTATGCATTGGACGTTTAAACTATAGCCTATATATGTTTCAGGTGCAAAGCAAAATTGTAAAATGTCTACCAGATGTCTTGACTGTGAACTGCCAAGTGGAAAGCCAGAAGGACTTTGAATTTTGGAAAATACAGCAAGAAGTAGGCCAATCAAGCTAACGTTTTCACCCTAGTTATGTGATTACATTATTTAGAACAGTCCAGATATACTTCAATCTCAGTTTTATAGTGTACTATCAACTAAAACACGTGCAGGTAGGATATGCTAATATCTGTAAATGCTCTAGTTGAGATTGTCACACTAATAATGCTTATATATTATATATTATATAAATTGGTTTATAATGTTGAAATTTTTTCATGAGTGAGTGAGTGCATCATTGCTTCTTGCCTAACTAAGAATGTTCTATGTTATTTGTGCATAGCTGAGAGCGGAAGCCAAGAGGAATAAGACAGAGGAAGAGAAACCTGTTTTACAATCAGGCATCACAGCGGCAGAGAGAGGGCCAAAACCATGTCGATATGCCAACATGTGCACTCGCAAGGACTGCCGATTCGCTCATGAGAAGGACAAAGTAGTAGAGTACGTATGTTGATTAAGAAAAAAATACCATGACAAAGAGATGACAAATAGAGCCGTATAGCTTATATATTTAGCTAGCTAGTTAACTCTCTCCCCTCTCTCCCTAAATATAAATATACAATTACATGTATACCACTCAAGAACCAACTCTGTCTGTCTGTCTGTCTTCTATGCGTTCCACCGTTTATTGGTTTAGGATGCCCAAAATTGCCACACTGTTAGGTGGTCACCAATAGGGGGCGCCTCAGCACATTTATACCCTATCCAGAGCAGTATAGAAATGCCTGATTTCACAGTGCATAGCATATAACACATGTACAGCAGTACAGTGCCCTAAAAGAAGGGGCCATTCACTGGGGAAGTTTTTGTAAGTATTTTAACTTTTGTTTGCCGACCTTATTTCGCACGGCAACAATGAAACAAAAAAAATCTGCGAATTTTTTCATAGGTTTGAGGATCCGGTAGACATGATGGGCCTGGATGACATCATTGCACCATGGGTGCCGCCTGGGTTATGTCTTGTGCTTGACAGCCAGCGCAACCTGTGTGTTCAGGAGCTATGGGATGATGATGTATGTGAACGCAGCCATATTATTATTATTTTATTATTAAATCTTTATTGCATGTAATTCAAATACAAATACGTGTACTGAAGTGAATATAATGTAGTGATGCTGTAGCCATAGCAACAGTGAAAATGCAAGATTTTTGCATAGCGAGGTTGGAGTTATTATTATGTGATACAATCAGACTGTATCATATAAGAAATTGCAAGAGAGAGAATTTAACAGAATAAGAAAGTTGGGGAAGTGGTTGTTTGCTTTACTCAGTGCTAATGTAAATGCGTACATAACAACTCATATTGCTAGAAAATATTCGTTAGCATGTAAACCATTGTCCATCTGGCAACTACAGAGACAAGTTGTGCAAATACGTGTACTCACGAACCAAACACGCAAATGTTAGAAGACGAGAAACACTGTTTACTTTCCTACTTTCACCCTTTAGTGGTATTCCACCTTCACCACAGATTAAAGTGTTAATTCTACCTTACACTTCTTGGGTACTCATGAAATGAAAATGTGAATGTTAGAAGAAGAATGACACCGTTTACTCTCCTACTTTCACCTTTCAGCACTTTAATTTGCGTTTAACCTATGTGTTACATGTCATGTAGGACAGCATTCCGAGTGACTCCAGCTCGACCACGGCCTACTACGAGTTGATGGGAGTCATCGCTGAGGTCCACGAGTCGAAGCTGATTGGCTCACACCTGGTGAGCTGCGTGAAGGTCGGCCGCCGCTACCACCAGCGCAAGACGGGACAGATGCGCAGCTGCTGGTACTTGTTCAACGACTTCTGCTTGTCGTGCGTAAACAAGGTGCGTACGAAGTATGACCGGTATTCGGTATTGGTATTCGGTCTGTCGATCGGCATCCGTGATATGAAGTCAATACGTAGCGTGTATGCGGAAAACTTGAATATAATAAGAAACATGAATATAAATAGGTACTAACTCATTAGTCCTCTGTTCGTAGTGTGTATTGAGATATGCAGCCTGTCAATCGGCATCCGTGATATAAAGTCGATACGTAACGATGTGTATGTGGAAAACTTCAAAATATGAATGTAGTATTCAGCCTGTCAATCTGCGTTCATAATATAATGTCGATACGTTATGACGTGTATGCGGAAAACTTAGAAATTAATAATGTAGATAGGTACTGATTAGTTAGACCTCTGTTTGTGGTGCTTATAGTTGGTGTGTGATTTCGCCACACACGTGGTATGCAGCGTCTTAGAGTTTAAATCGGTGACCGTTAGAATTGTGTAAATTCGTGGCGAAGTTTCGGTAAACGTGTTTATAATAAAAGGATTAAACTTTAAAGGATAAACTAATTCGATAATTGTAGGAATCTCTGCGAGGCTCTCACAAGCAATCGGTTCCCTGATATAACAAATAACCAGCGTTCAGTTATGTTAGGATACATATCATATGAGCGTGATCATTGCTTTCGACATATGTGCCATCTTCTAAGGATTCCTTTAAGTTTAGCTTCTTTGTTTCTGTCATTCCGTAATGGAATTCTATCCGTTCCTCTTTTGTAAATATTTGAGGCTTTTCCTACTGTGATCCGCAGTGTTGATCCGTCTATTTGATCAACTTTCTCTCTTTCCATTTTCGGTATAGTCCCTTGGACTCTGAAGACTAATACTTACGAAGTTACGAGGTTACAGTGGTGCACGCCCTGTTTAACTCAAGGCATGACGACGTGGTCAATTGTCGTGTATCGTGAAACATTCAGCTGTGTTGCCGGCGGGAGTGTAAAACATAGACTATATTATACATTCTCAGTATTCTCTATATTATACACTCCTGTTACCGGTGTGCGTGCGTAGGAGGCGTTATCAGTTGTCGTGTATCGTGAAACATTCAGCTGTGTTGCCGGCGGGAGTGTAAA